AATTAATTAATTAATTAATTAATTAATTAATTAATTAATTAATTAATTAATTAATTAATTAATTAATTAATTAATTAATTAATTAATTAATTAATTAATTAATTAATTAATTAATTAATAAAAAAAAAAGATAGAACCCATTTAATTAAAAGGGTTATAAAATACGTTTTATTTACTGTTTTTATGTGCCATAATTAAGTTTAGAATTTAGTTTTCTCTGACAAGTTTAATGAAATTAATTGTTTGTTTTTTTTGTTTGTTTTTTTACTGTTTATTATTAACTGTTTGTTTTGCTTTTTGGGGGGGTTATGCTTTGCTTTGTGTTTTGTGTGCTGTGTTTTTTAGTGCTGTTTTCTGTTCTGTGATTTTGTTGTTTTGCTTTGCTTTACTTTGCTTTGTTTTGCTTGTTTTGTTTTGTTTTCGGTTTCATTTGGTACTTGCTGTACCTTTAAGACTAAATGTAAACTTGCTTGTGAAATTAGATACAGCAGTGCTGTGCACATAGTTACAAGCTGCAGGTTTGATGTTAAGTCAGTGATGTTAAGTCAGTTAAGTTAAGTGATGTTAATGTAATCTTCGCTGTCCCATCCTTAAATATAACAGTCTTTTAACAAAGCTGCATCACGTTTAGAAAGGTTCACGAAACAACTGGCACATAAATGTGCTGCTCCAACTGTGAAGGTAAGACTAAAACGATCAAAGACATTGTTAAAAATAAACTTCAACCACTCTCTCCTGACATTAGAAAAGGATTTCTAAAGATCCTGAGTGCATCGGTGCAGTACTTGCAGACCGCTCTATTCAATGAGCTGTGTCAGCACTTACTGATCCTGTTTGCCAAGTAACTTGGATCCATTCAGCATTCTTTTCCAGTCAACTCAGTGTACATTATTCTTTTATTTTCATCACACAGTAATGGAACACTGGGAACATGTGGATCTGAGTCCACTTCCTGCTATCTTAATTTGTTTATTTACATGAATATAAATATCAGTTCCCAAAGGAATTGTAATCTCATTTGTGTCTGTTCCCCTGGTTTCAATCAGGTGCTATTGGACCTGAATTGTGGATTTCAGATGCTGTGAAATGATCACTTGTATTTATAACATCTATATTTTATCTAGCATGTCCATACATTGGTTGTCAGAAACTGCAGAGACCTCAAATGAAGACCTCTGGATATCAGTACCTTTAAGAACTACCTAAATATCTTTCTCTAATATTTAGTTCTAATTGTATATTAGTATTAGGATGATTTTAAACAGGCTATATTTTAAGAGTCACATTTAAATTGAATTTTGTATGCAAGGAATGCATTTTTTTTATTCAGTTATTTTTAAATTAATTTTAGTTTTTGAATTGTTTTTAATTAATTTTAGATGTATCATTAAAATGTTTTGTTTGACACTTTCACAATCTGGAATTGCTTTCATAATGTTGTTTTTAGAGGGCAACTCAATGTGATTACGTTATAAAATGTCCATATTTTCCCACCCACATGAAAAAAAATATTATAGTAATTTATAGTACATTTTATAGTGTTTTTGAACCACACTATAGTAAAGTGTATTAGACTGTATATATTATAGTATTTACAACACTTTGTTAATGAATGCTACAGCATACTGTAGTATTAACTATAGTGAACTGATAAACTGTAATAAATACTGTAGTATACTTTAGTTTTTACTACAGTAAACTGTAGTGTATTGTAGTATAATATACCCTAGAGTTGTAGAAAACTTAGTACAGTATTGGGTAAAGTAATTTGTTTATATTACTATAGTTGTTATATTACCACAGCACCTAGAATTAGAATTACCACAACACATTAATTCAAGTACTTTACTATAGTATGGTTCAAAAACACTATAGTTTTTACTATAAATTACTATAGTATGTTTTTAATGTGGGCATAAATGGATTGCATATAAACATTTCCATACTGTATCTGCCAGTAACATGTTAAAAGTGTGTTCATTTAATTGAGTAGCTAATTAAACTTCACTTATATATACTGTATTTTTGTGTAGGTCTATAAATGCGTTGGTTAATAAGGTAGCCTTTTACCCATGCAATAAACAATGGAAACTAGTATTGGAATGTGAACAATGGGAAGTCATCAGAAACAGAGATGTCTGTGTATTCGAATAAACATTCCTAAATGTATTGCTTTCTTCCTACGGAATGCTTGCCATAACACAGATGGAGAGAATCAGTCCCACTTCTCTGCAGGTATTTCCGTATGGAGACCTTGGATGCAAGCTTGCATATCGGGTTTGAAGGCCTTTGTGTTTAGCCTTTGCTTGCACTTTTATAAGCTTGTTTTCTCCGTAAATGACATTTGTCAAACGTGATGGGAATTGCAGACGGCCACAACTTCAGTGTTGTATTTTTTTCAGCATCAGCGAGTTGTGATCTCTTAAAAAGCTGTTGTGTATTAGTTCTACAAAAGTATTCTGCAAATGAAAGTTACTTGTGCTTCAGTTCTGTTGGGCTGCACAAACAAATACTTTAATATTCACAATTCAACTAACAGTGCATTCTCTGTTTTTCATCTCTTCTCAGACCAGTGAATCTGCTTCTGGACAGGACCAGCACTGACATCACTTCCTTTCACACAATGGGTGATTGGCTGGAGAGTGCGAGGACGTTGCCCTGTAAAGATGCATTCCGTGGGGTCAGCTACAGCTCCTGTGATACACTGGCTAAAACCTCAGCAGAGTAAGAGTATTTTACTATACAGCCTTTTTCTTTTTTTCTATTATAAAACTAAAATCTACACTACCGGTCAAAAGTTTGGAATCATAACAATTTTTTAATGTTTTCAAAAGAAGTCTCTTACTCCCACTAATGCTGCATTTATTTGATTAAAAATACAGTTAAAACTATATAGTTTTACAGTTACATTGTGAAATATTATTACAATTAAAAATAACAGTTTTCTATATTAATATACTTTAAAATGTAATTTATTCCTGTGTTGCAAAGCTGAATTTTCAGCATCATTACTCCAGTATTCAGTGTCACATGATCCTTCAGAAATCATTATAATATGATGATTTGGTGCTCGGTTATTTACAAAAAAATTCAAAAGTTACATTATACATTTACATTATAAATGTCTTTACATTTCATCAATTTAATGCATCCTTGCTGAATAAAATAATTTATTTTAAATTAATTACATTTTCAAATATATTGGAAAACAGTTATTTTAAATTGTAATAATATTCCACAATATTGCCATTTGTACTGTATGTTTTTATCAAATATATGCAGCCTTTCAGCAACATTAAAAAAGTCTTAATTATTCCAAACTTTTGAATGGAAGTGTATTTTTGTGAACAATCATAAGTGCAAACATACTTTTGTTTATACTGTGCATATCATCAGTTTTGAAGGAACAGTCGAATATGCTTGTTGTTTAGACCCAAATGATATTATTTCTTCCATGAAACAAAAAAAGGGATTTTTTTTTTATCGTCAGTTTTGATGTGTTTATTCCCTTATTTGGTAATTCTTCTATTAGAATTGTCCCTGTGCTTAAGGGTTAGCATTCTGTACTTTTCAGTCCAAGGCAAAAGACAAGTGATATAATTTAAGTTTGCTGGCATAAAACAGTTTAAAACCAATGCAGAAGACGATGACAAATGTATTTACAGATCAGTTTCCAGTAAATGAAGCCCAGCGTTGGCTAATCCTTTAAAGGTGGCCATTACATTTGTTATTAATCTCCAGTGACAGTGCTTTAGTAATGTTTTCTTCTATTGTAATCCAATAAATGGAAGAAGCAGAAAAACAAAACCTCTTTTGCCAAAAATAAAAGTGCTGTCCTCCTATAATCCCCAGTCTTGGAAGCAATCTAACGGCTTGAGTTGGGCACATTCCCCTGAGTCAAACAAATTTCTAATAATATAGACCCTATTCTGCTCCAGAGTATGGGTCTGCATTTATGGGAAATGCTTTGTAGATGTTGATTAGGAACCTTGCCTTGCCTGGTTAGCATCTCCTAAAACCACTTTTCGATTCCAATGACGGGGTATTTGACAATGTAAATAATTTGACATTCATAACTTGAGAATGATCAAAGGGCCGGTCTGGGAACAGTGGCAGTGCTGTGCTGCATGTTACCCTTAGGACTAAACATCTAAACACTCAGCAGTCTGTAATTAAGCCTGCTTGCGGTTATATTTTGTTCAGATGTCAGCGTAAATAATCGCATGCAAATAGCGACCCTCATCCATGACCCAGATTGGGTTATTTAACATGCAGTTCGTCTCTCAGTGTTTGGCCTTCGGTAGTGAGTGGACACCACCACTCTTTGACTGACCACAGAGTTATGTTTGTGAATTTTAAGGGCAAATATGTTGATTTATATGCTTTAACTGCTGAAAATACCAAGATCACCATTATATATATATATATATATATATATATATAACTTATAAGTTTTGCTGGTAAACAGCATCCATCAACTAAGCCAACATCAAACCATCACTAACCAGCCAAAGCGAAACCACACCAGAATAAACCACTACTCAGTGGTGTATAAAGTACCTGAAAGCCATACTCAAGTGAAAGTACAGATATCTTACCAGAAAATGACTTTGGTAGAAGTTGAAGTCATCGTTTAGAATATTACTCGAATAAAAGTCTTAAAGTATGTGATATTTATTGTACTTAAATACGAAAAGTATTTTTTTTATCTTAAACGTACTTAAGTATTGAAAGTAAAAGTAAGTGCAAAACGGAAAAGAAGCAAATAAATATATATATAAAAAAATTTCATACACAGCTTGAGTAGCAAGATTGTGTTCAGTTTTAACTCTTTTTTCCATTTTGTGTTTTTAGGGTAAGAATAAGAAACACTTCATCCGGTACTAGTGTCTTTCATTCCAACATAAGAAAACATTTCTGGAATCTGCATCTGAAATAGCATTTCGATGTACTTACAGTTTATGTATCTCAGAGGGGACATGGATACATTTAAACTGCAGTTACAGATGCATTAATATGCCTAATGTTTTGTTTTTAACATAAAACGAATCCTGATATTTGAATTTAAAACATGAAAAAATAGTCGAAATGTTAAATTAAAACCGCCAGTAGGTGACAGCAAGTGACTGTTAATGAGTGAGTCATTGAGATTCAACCGATTCATTCAAACGACTGATTCATTCAGAACCAAAGCATTTGACTGTGTTAATGAGTGAATCACTGAATCATTTATTCAACTGATTCATTCAAAAAGCTGATTCCTTCAATAAGTAAACACCGTCCATTGCTCAGAGACGCAAAACAGTGCTGTGATCTTTGTTTGGAACTATTTTCGTTAGCAAAATTCAGCAAAAACAAGCAATATTATGTCTAAAATGTAAGTCACTTATTGCTTTATTGAACTTGTATAAGATGATTATTATATGTGTTCATGCTGAAAAACGGTACTCTTTGTGTGATATAGATTGTTAAATAAATTAAATTATATAAATATATTTTAGCATTTTTGCCGTCTACAATTTAGAATGGCTGGAATTTTGAGTTTTAATAGATTAATAAATCAACGTGCGTGCACTCTGTGTGTGATTTGGTGAGCCTACTATAGCCAATTTTTAGAAGTCTAACTTAAAAGCGCCAGACCACTGATTCGTCAAACCTGCTTTCCTGCAGTCCGTGTGCTTCTGACTTCTGACTATTTTGTAGTAAATAACGAATATGCTTCGGGGAAATGTATCGGAGTAAAAGTATGCATTTTAATTAGGAAATGTAGTGGAGTAAAAGTAAAAGTTGGCTGAAATATAAAAACTTAAGTAAAGTACAGATACTCCCCAAAAAATACTTAAGTACTGTAACGAAGTATTATTACTTTGTTACATTACACCACTGCCACTACTAACCAGGCTAAATCCAGCACCAAATCAGTTCTAGACAGCATATTAACCAGAATTTAACCACATAAATAAGCACCGAAGTAAAAGCACACCAACATTAAGCAATACTAACCATTGACAAGTAAACACTAACGAGCATAAAAACCAAAAAAAAAAGAAAATGACCAAAAGACCAGCATTGCACCAGCATGAGAATTTATATTGGTCTGTTCAGCAGTACTGCACCAATCTGAGAGCCTTCAATAAAGATAAAGATTGACACCTCAAAAATTGCTTCACAAAATAGTTCAAATTTAAATAAGCTATTGGTGTTTAATGGGTCTACCAGGAAGATGAAGAATCGCAAGAGATAGATCATTATTGATGATTCAGTCACTTATCACTTTACCTTGGTTGTGTTGTTGTTGGGGATATAGTAAGTTTACCAGATGTTTGGCCTCTTACTGCAATTTCATGTGAAATTGTGCAGAACGTTAGGCTCTTTATTCTATCATTGAAGGTTTTTCCTTGTTTAGCACAAGTCGCATTAAAACTGTAGATAAATCTGAATTGATATAGCAGGCAGCATGCAATAGTTATACTTTCTTGTGTCTTGTTGAGATATTTCTGGTAAAACAACACATTTTCTTTGAAAAATGGAAGTTAATAGAATTCAAATGACACTTTTTTTCATATTATATAGTAAATAAGTTATAAATTGTCACTTAAAACAAAGCTCCAGTTTTTTTTTTCATGTGTGTTTTGTTTAGTATACTTCAGGGGGGGAAAAATGAAATTAAATAAATAATATAAGAGTATATATTTTCAGTCTTTTATGTACTTATCAAAGAGGCCTATACTTAAGTATACTTAGTTTATACTGAGAAGTATACAGAAAAGTCCAAGTATATTTGGCCTATAATTGTGATTTATATTCACTGGGCGCTGAGATACAAAGTGATTTGCGCTACGCTAGCCACGGCGAAATTATCAAAACTTTTACCGGGAGTTCTATTTGGACGCCCCGTATCTACTGGCCGCGCGGGTAATCGTCACAGAGCCAGCTGCAAAAGTTGAACAATTTTGAACTTTGACCGCTTTCCGCGTCCTGTGTGAAAGCCGCTTAATCTCTATAATTTAGTATTCTAAGTATGCTTGGCTTGTAATTATGTTTACTCTTTTGATAGAGTGGCCTATTATTATTATTATTATTATTATTATTTCTACACATATTGGCTTCGTTTAGGTACTCCAGCATATGTTTTACCTCCTGATAAACTTACATGTTCAAGTCTATAATAACAAGTCAGCTTTGGGTGCAATAGTTTAGAGTAAAATACGACATGGGTGGAACTAAACTTGATCTTTTTGTACACCATGCTATTAACCTACACAGAAACAGATCGACATTTGGATCATTTTATTATTCATTATTTTATGGTGTGTGTAAACTATAAGTATGATTTTTAGTTCACTGAAAGAAAATGTACAAGTAGTAACTATACAAACTATTAAACTGGTTTACTGAGTGTATACTTCAAAGTTTCTTTTATAAACTAAAAAGTGAGTTAGACATACAGTATAGCTAGTAAACTAACAGTACCCCTAAGTTTACTTGAAGTACAGTTCACAGAATCGTTACAAAAAAGAAGAACTTAGATGTAAATTAGTTGTATACTCATTGCCTACTGTTATAGTATAAACAATAAACTAAAAATTCAACCAAATTAGTCCAAGACGTATTGAAATTGTACACTTTCAAGTGTACTACTAGTACATTGATTTTAGTATACTTACTACATAAAGTATATTTTGGAAAACACTGGGGCTTTACTACTAAAAAGACCTTGAAATATACTTCTTTTTTGTAATGGATTTTTTATAAAAAGAAAATGATTTGACCAGACTAGTTTGCATTTCTGTTTTCTTACAGCTGTTATAATGGTATAGCAGTTACTTCTTGATTTCAGCTGTTTGCAATCACAATGTATCCTTGCATTTTAATTAGCATTACAGACAACATGCCTCTGAATTTGTTAAATCTGCTATATTGAAGCTTGAATTTGACTCTGTAGTAGATCAAACGACTTTTGCCACACAGAAATGTTGCAGGCCTGTCTTGATTGACATTGTGAGCGTTTGTTTGGCTGATGTCAGTGCATTGACGATAAACAACCTGTGTGTCAGTCGATCTAAAGCTGTATTCTGCCCATAGAATCTGTCTGACTGAAGTCAGACCAGCAGCCACGTGCCCTGAGTGGGAGCCGTCCATGGGAATTACAACACTTTAAAGCTTAGAGACTGGATGGTGGGTTCTGATCGTAGCTTTTCTGTTACTGGCTGCTCCCTCAAGCTTTTGCTTGCGCTCATGTCCAGATCAGGACTAAATTGCTGCTGCACCTTCTAGAAGGGTTTCTAACAGAACTCGTGCCTGAGGTGTGCATAGATTGTAACTTAGATTATAACTTAAACCTGCTTGCACTAATATGCTATAATGATCTTCACTGCACAGCTTTTGCATCCCTTGATCTGACAATACTAAGAAAAAAGATTTTTTGTTGTTGTTGTTTTGCAAAAGCTTCTGTATTTGAGGTGTACATTAAAGTGATTGGTTTGCCACATTTTTGCAATGTACTGTCGGATCTAATGGGAAAAACGTGACTTAATATGAGTTTTTGTAAAACCTGAAATAGGCAGTACAAATTGCTGCAGTTTCCAGTAGAAATGTCCATTGAGTTGAATTTTATTTTATACAGAGGAGGCCTTATCAAGGCTAAACAAGTCAAGCATGTCAACAAATAATAATCTAGTGACTTAAATACCACATACAGGAATAATTTTTTCATCCTAATTAAATATAATTGTATACCTAAAATTCAACCAGAGAAGAGACCACTACAGAGAGTGGGTCAAACCCAAAACGCAAGCTCTGGCTGTAGGTCTTAAAATAGATTTACAACAAAACATTTGTTTCTGGATAGTTGGCCAAAATTAAAAATCTGTTTTAACTTTTGCCTGTCCTGCCAATAATTCCACTGGCCTGGCACAAATATTATAAACTGTTAGTTTGACCAAATATTTTATGTTTAAATTAGATTATTATTATTATTATTATTATTATTATTGTTGTGACATATTTAAATTAAACAAATATGCAACTACAATATTCATTATTTTAATCCAAAATATTAATATCCAATAATTATTTTAATCACACATCCAAAAGTGTTTTTTTTTTAAGAAATAATACTTATTTCTGTATTATTTTATTTATATTCAATTGAAAGTTACAATACTATTACAAAAGTTTCTGTTTCAGATCAATTCTGTTCTTATCGTTTTCAACATGATAATAAGAAATGTTTCTTGAGCAGCAATTCAGCATATTTGAATGATTTCTGAAGAATCATGTGACACTAAAGACTGGAGTAATGATGCCGAAAATTCAGCTTTGCATCACAAGACATTTTTTTATTTTTATATACAGCTCATAAGTTTACATACCCATTGCAGAATATGCAAATATGTTAATAATTTTAACAAAATAAGAGAGCTCATGAAAATTGCAAGTTATTTTTTTTATTTAGTACTGTCCTGAATAAGCTATTTCACATAATCACGTTTATATATACACCACAAGAAAAAAATTATAACAATGTATACAAATGACCCGTTCAAAAGTTTACATACCTTTGAATCTTAATACTGTGTGTCATTTCCTGGATGATCCACGACTGTTTTTCTGTTTTGTGATAGTTGTTCATAAGTTGGTCCTGAGCAGTTCAACTGCCTGCTGTTCTTCAGAAATATCCCCCAGCTCCTGCACATTCTTTGGTTTTCCAGCATCTTCTGCATATTTGAACCTTTTCCAAAAGTGACTGTATGATTTTCAGACCCATCGTTTCACACTGAGGACAACTGAGGGACTCGTATGCAACTATTACAGAAGGTTCAAATGCTTACCAATGCTCCAGAAGGAAAACCCATGCATTAAGAGCCATTCTGTTCAAACCTTCTGTAATAGTTGCATACGAGTCCCTCAGTTGTCCTCAGTGTGAAAAGATGGATCTCAAAATCATACAGTCACTTTTGGAAAAGGTTAAAATATGCAGAAGATGCTGGAAAACCAAAGAATGTGCAGGAGCTAGGGGATTTTTCTGAAGAACAGCAGGCAGTTGAACTGCTCAGGACCAACGCAGGACTCATGAACAACTATCACAAAACAGAAAATATATACCTTGTGGGGTATATATAAACATCTGTTATGTAAAATAGCTTTTTCAGGACAGTACTAAATAAAAAAATAACAAGCAATTTTCATGACCTCTCTTATTTTGTTTAAATTATTAACATATTTGCATATTCTGCAAGGGGTATGTAAACTTATGAGCACAACTGTATATATAGAAAACATTTTAATTTTATAATATTTGTAGCTTTTTCAGGACAGTACTAAATAAAAAATAACATGCAATTTTCATGACCTCTCTTATTTTGTTTAAATTATTAACATATTTGCATATTCTGCAAGGGGTATGTAAACTTATGAGCACAACTGTATATATAGAAAACATTTTAATTTTATAATATTTCGCAATTTTACAGATTTTACCGTATTTTTTATCAAATGAATGCAGCCTCGGTTAGCATAAGAGACTTATTTGAACAATAGTGTATATTCTGAACCCATGCAATAACTTTATTTGAACAGAACAAATTTTACTCATTACTCCTCATAACCTTGTCGCAGGGAAAGTAAACAGCTTTTTTAGCACCACTGCTGTTCATTTCACCTGTGAACTACAGCGACAGTACCTGCAGCGACGCATTTTACGCATGTAGAGTCACGTTTTTCCTATGAGACCAGGTCGGATATGTGCACACGGGATGAACTCATCCATATGGTAAGTCTGGAGAGTCTATCCACGATTGTAAATAATGCAAGCTCCTGTCAGCTGTTGCATGGATCTCATTAAATGAAAAATGTCGTTCTTTTTCCCTCTGGGGTAACCCTGACAGTGCTGTTCCTTTCAAATTACAGTAGAAATAACCGATGAAGCAGCTACTCCAATTTCTCATCACAGGAAGCTGTAAATCAGCCCAGTGTTTAAGTTATAACACAAAGTCTGTCACGAGTCCAGCTCCTCAGCTTATTGTATGCGTATGGCAGCATGGTGTCCTCCTGGAATACTTCGGCCTACATGACTGACACAAGCGGTCTAAGGCAGATCGCCGCTGCGGGCTTGTCATTAATGTCACCGTATGTCAAACCGTGAGCGCTATATTACCCGTCGTCACTGTCTCTCTCTCTCCTCTCTGACACACAGGGACTTCAAGAAAGTCGGTGGGACGATCGTTGGACCTCAGAAGAAGATCGTGAGCAGCCTAACAACACTTGAAACACACTCAAAGAACGGTCCAGTTCCTGTGTAAAATTAAAAACGAGCGACTGAAATGAAAGACACCTAAACGAGATTGATGCTGCTTTGGCTTTAACAGACAGGAAGTAAATATTAAACGAAAAGAGGAAGTGGAACTACAATTCTTGAACACATGTGCGAAGCAGAACAACCTTCCTGGAGAAAAATCACGTCTTCCCGGGCACGAGGTGCAAAGACGATGAGCCAGCGATTATCGGCGAGAGAGGCGGATGAGCGCGGGCCTCGTGTTTAGGAGTCTACGGTTTCGCCGCATGGCTCCTCCTAGAGGACGGAAGCCGGTCCGATCCGAATGGATTTAACGAAGAGCTCTTCACATGTGGCAGGGGAGCATTAAAAAGCCTTCAGGAAAAGCTTTGCATAAGCAACCGTCTTCCTTTTGGAAGGTAGCACTTCAGAGAGGCAATAGCTTGCACCCCAGAGTTTTGGTGGTTTCTTGTAGAAAAGCCCCCTTTATTAATTCTTCTGAAGAACGGCAGGAGAAATACAGCTGGTTACTGTTAGAGCAATCTGGTGATGCTTGTTAGGATCTGACACGTTTGGCTATATATTTGATAATTGCAAGTGCAGAGAGCCATTCTCTAGAATCAGGGATTTAGTAGCGGAGACCTTGGGTAAACATGCCATTTTAAAGGTGTATTTGTTAATGTAGCCCATGACATGTTTGTTTGCACCACTGTGTTCAGATGATATATGAATTCATTATCAAATAAAAACAGTACAGTATAAAGAAAATAAACTGTTTACTAGAATCAGTAACAGTCATAATGCATCACATGAGAAAAGCAGACAGAATAGAGTGATGATGTGTTTTTGCAGGCCAACCCAAATGTTAGTATGACCAATAGAACTTTGCCATTGGTTTTTGGATTATTGCTGAAAATAGGCTCTTACACTTCCAGAGCTTATTTTAGGCATTTAACCAAAAGTCCATTCACAAAATCCATTGACGATGGAAGCGGAAGTGCTAAAATGCTAACTTGTTTCTAAGTTTTGACCTGCAAATATATGTCATCCCTGCAACTCTCTATACCAGCAGGATTTGGACTCAGAAGTCTCAGATATGATGAGGTAAATGGGCTGTGTTCGAAATAAAATACTAGCTTACTACATACTTAACACTCCCCGTTTTGTTTAGTATGTGAAACAAAAGATTTTGCAGCAACATGCTAAATAATTGACACGTGACCTCATCTTGGTTAAGTCAGCGACATCCAATTATCAACTTACAAACATTTTTAATCCAATTATGTGTAAAATTCATACTGAAATCATGTTGACTTGATTTCAATTTGACTCGATTCACCTCAGATATGGCTTCACTTTTCGCTTGTCCCCACAGATGCTCTCCATTCTGGCAACACCTACTTTTCCCAATCCAAATCAGTTCCCAATTGATTAAACAAAGTCCCACCCTCCATTTTTTTCTCGTTGAATATCCTGGAATCAGATTATGGAAAGAAAATGAGTTGTGAATGTCACTTCACATTGAGTTTAACATTTGGCAACCAATCAAATAATGAGTCAAGAAAGATAATTAAAGTCCCCATGAAATCAAAATTAAAGTTTTTTGGGTGTTAGTATCAATATGTTAGTCTTAAGGTTATCTATAAGGCAGTGTGCTCCAAAACAGTGACAAAATTCACATTTAGAAGATATAAGCATTCAAAGTCACATCGTACTTCAGCTTCTCATCAAACTTTCTGTCCAATCAAATGCGCTCTAGAATCCGAATCGCCCACCCCCTACACTATAAAATAGATGCTGAAGCTGCGGCTGAAATCGGTCACTTGTCCACAGAATTAGTGTTTTCTGTACAGTGAACGTGGCACGTAGTGCACTTTATAGGGGACAGGGAACGATTCAAACAGTGTAAATATGCTTTCCATTGAGGAAAAAAAGAAGTCTGGTTTTGCGCTGTGTCACGCTAACCACCGCACCACACACACACTCTGCTCCGGTCCAGAGACATGATAGCATGGAGCGGATCACATGCGCGAGTCGGCACAGACCACAAAATGTATCGGAGCTATTTGAATTCTACACAGAATGCTATATTTTATAGCAATATGGATGAGATTGTGGCTGGCATACCCTGTCAAATGTGGCTTTACGCAGCTCAACAGCTCTGAACGGCTCTAGCCCAAGCTGATATATAAACGAACGCTATTGGCTATTTTAAAAAGGGGCGGGGCTGCTTGATATGCCCCGCCCTGTCTTCCTGTTTCAGTTAAAATGACGTCAACACATAGAGTAACGCTGCGTGTTTCTAAGCATTTCAGGGGACCTTTAAATATCACTTGTGATTTTATCTTTTTTCTAAACTAGTTCACCTAGAAATGTTTCAAACAAAACATTTGGTCTTCATTTACTCACTGTCACGTCAATCCAGACCTGGCTTTATTTCTTATGCAGAACATAAAAGAAAATCAATGCAATGTGCAAAGAAGTCAATGTGCACCAAAACTGTTTGGTAACCAACATTACTCAAAATATCTTTTTTCTTCCACAAGCAAAAGAAATTCATCCAGCGTTGGAACTTTTTGGGGTGAACTATCCCTTTAAGCGCAAACCCCACCCCACAGACGATTTCATTGGTCGACTCAATCAAAAGAGGTTCAGATGTTTCAGGCAATCAGTGCTGTTGACCATACCAATGAAATCCAATGGGCAGAGTTTACGCTGAACTGGATTGTGAAAAAACAACTCAAATATTACAGCTACTTGCAGTATTTAATTATGCTGGAAATGGAAGATCAAATCAAGCATGTTGCATTGTGGGATACAATATTATGTGCAACTCTGTTGAATACTGCACATTTTGCCTGGAGATTCCATGCATACAGAACATTTGCATACTGTGCGCAGTATATAAAATATATTATATACTTCAGGAGTAGTAAGAGTAGTGCTATTCCGTACATTACCATGCTCTGTGATTTCCTGTAGTGAAATTCACTTTGAGATCAGGACTATGAAATCTTCCAGAAGTTTCATGTGGAGGGTTATTCAAAAAAAGGACAGCTGTGTTCTGATCAAGTATCATCAGTCTTCAAAATACAAGGTTCTTCCTCATTTATTAGTTTGAGACTGATTATGGGCTTAATTAATATCATTATCCGAATATTTTCTTAAGACATCCTGATCATAAAATTAAAAAAAAACAGCACTAATGGTGCACAAATGACGGTCTGACCATGTACTGCACTACCTTATGAAGGAACAGTCCATTTTTCCTCTTCGTCCCTTTCATTCTGCCTGTAAATGTTGCTTTCTCCCTGCTGTTCGCATGTACATATGTGAACCGGACCTGTGATGATAGCAGTGGTGACTCTAGAGGTATTATCATTTACCCAGCCATCCCTTTGTACAAATGTCTGTATGTATGTATAAAAGAATGAACAAAATATCTGTGCAACTTTTACAAAACCCATTTGTATGATATTTTATGTTATTTTGTATTATATTTGTTTTACATAAAAACAATTATAATGACTTATTATTTATTTCTTAACAACAAACCACCATACACAGTGCAGTTTTTTTTTTCTTCGTAGCATTCAGTAAGTTATGACAAGGTTATGTTTCGACCCTATCAGTGTTTTTATATTTTACTTTGTTGAAGATGATGTTTTGAAGAGCAATACTGTTTTGCGTCCTGTTCCTCTTCTTTAGATGTATGTGTGTGAGTGTGTAGATGGCCTTGTCTACTAATGTAAAATGATTTGTAGTGGAAACATTTATATTTTTATAATAAACATTCTCAAAATATTTTCTAAAGAATGAATGCTAAGAAGAAAGTGTCTCGCTTTGCTGTTTGTTTTGCTTACACACACACACACACACACACACGTGTGCGCGCTCTCTGATAAAAAACATACATTATAGTGAATAAAGTAACAATATTTTTTTATATTAAGCTACTGAAAAAATATATTTAGAAAAGACGGAAAACACCTCACTTTTCTGATTAAGATTTTTAATTGATTAAATTAATTGAAATTAATTTAGAAAATGAATGAATGAATGAAAGGTAAAAGTGTAGTTGTAACTGTAATAAACAAGAAAACAAGAAACAAGAAAGAAAAACTAATTGTTATATATTGTAAAATGTTTAATGACTATAAAATGTCAAGCGGTGTAACAAAGTATTTATGTATAATTTAATTGTATAATAATACATAATTAATCATTTTAAAACATTTTCTATAAGGAACATGCAGGCTGTCCAAACCTACCTGGCCCTACGTGAAAAATGAATCGCCCCCTTCTGTTAAATCATGAAAGAACTGTGATTAATCACATCATTTTAGAAAGCTGAGTTAAATTTCACTAGCCATGCTCAGGCCTGATTACTGCCAGACCTGTTGAATCAAGAAATCACTTAAATAGAACCTGTCTGACAAAGTGAAGCATGCTTAAAGAGCAACACAGCATGCTGATCTAAAGAAATTCAAGAACAGATGAGAAACAGAATAGTTGACTGGAAAGGATTATAAAGCCATTTCTAAGACTTTGGGACTCCAGCGAACCACGGTCAGAGCCATTATCCACAAATTGAGAAAACTTGGAACAATGGTGAACCTTCCCAGGAGTGGCCGGCCAACCAACATTATTCCAAGCGTGCAACGACGACTCCTCTAGGAGGTCATAAAAGAACCCAGAACAACATCTAAAGAACTGCAGGCCTCACTTGTCTTGATTAAGGTCAGTGTTCATGATTCAACAATAAGAAAGAGACTGGGCAAAAACGGCATCCATGGGAGAGTTCCAAGGCAGAAGCCATTGCTGACCAAAAAGAACACAAAGGCTCGTCTCACATTTGCCAAACAATTTCTTGATTATCCCCAAGATCTTTGGGCAAATATTCTGTGGACTGATGCGGCAAAAGTTGAACTTTTTGGAAGGTGTGTGTCCTGTTACATCTGGCGTAAACCCAACACAGCATTTCATAAAAAGAACATCATACCAAGAGTCAAACATGGTGGTGGTAGTGTGATGATCTGGGGCTGCTTTGCAGCTTCAGGACCTGGACAACTTGCCATAACTGACGGAACCATGAATTCTGCATTCTATCAGAAAATCCTGAAGGAGAATGTCCGGCCATCAGTTTGTGACCTCAAGCTCAAGCGCACTTGGGTTATACAGCAGGACAATGATCCCAAACACACCAGCAAGTCCACCTCTGAATGGCTCAAGAAAAACCAAATGAGGGTTTTGGAGTGGCCTAGTCAAAGTCTAGACGGAAATCCGATTGAGATGCTGTTGCATGACCTTAAATAGTCCATTCATGCTTGAAAACCCTCCAAAGTGGCTGAATTAAATCAATTCTGCAAAACTGCATTATGTATTTACTTGGGTTATCTTTGTGTAATATTAAAATTACTTTTAAAAAATGTAAAAAACAGGAAGGGGGCAAAAACTTTTTTACAGCAGTGTGTGTGTGTGTGTGTGTGTGTGTGTGTGTGTGTGCATGTTTATGTGGTTTATGAGGACACAAATTTGTGTAACGAATCAGCTCATGGGAAATATGAATAATTAATCATAAATAGTTATAATTAATTATGAATATTTTAGATCTGCTGTAGATATTTAGCTGACCTCTCAGGGTCAACTGTCTTGTCAATTCTAAGAACGTTAATTTCCTGGTTAAGGGAAATAACTTCCTTACTGTACAATTCTACAAAAGCTTGTAGCATAAATCTGCATGATTAAGTGACTCCAGTTATGAGCAAACAATGAACCACGTCAAGTGTGATACAAGTAAGGATTTATTAACTACATAAACACTTAAACTAGTCTAACATACTACATAAACACATAAACTGGTCTAACATCCTACATAAACACATAAACTGGTCTAACAT